TCTCTATTTAAAAAGCAAAACAAACAAAACCAATAGAAGTAATACTTTTTTGGCTGCAAGCTTTGGAATTCTCACAACTAAGGAATAACCTAAGTGCTGTATCAGTTTAGCATTGAGACTGCTGAGGATCTCGTATGCCTGTTTGACTAATGTTTAAGTGAAACAGGGATTTGGGTTTTTTTTCCTCCCCATTTATAGGGTGTGGAAGCATGAGGACTAAACCAACAATCCAGAAATACCCTCTATCCACTATAATCCAAAGTATCATTTCTCTGCAGTTGCCTGCCTAGTTGTCATCTATTTTCAGTTTGGGCTTTATTATATTGCCTTTTTTTTTTTTTTTTCCTCCTTGGTACTTACTTAGGCACTTGGAAGATAAATCAGATGTCTAATTTGAACAGGAAACAGTAGATCTGAGAAAACCAAACAGCTGTTTACTGGAGACATAGTTTAGCATTTCAGATTTAGTGACTTGTTGAATTTTTGTAAATGATAATGTGAAAACTGCTCAAGATCTAGAGATGACTGAGAAGATTGTTGTGTGTAGTCCTAGTTAGTTATTGTAACCTTTCATTCCTTAAACTACAGTTAAAGTTCTTTATTTTCTTCTTCATGTTTTAAGTAAGCATCTTGGATCCTATGAACTTCAAGGTTAAGGCTTTAGACATGTCGTACTCATCTAGTACAGAAAGACACGTAAATGGTTCAAATGCAACTTGAGCTATAAAAAAGGGTACCAGAAATCTGCAGGAGTAACAACAGGAGAAAGAGGAGGATTTACCTTATGCATGTGATGCTCAGTACGTGTGTTTTGTGGGCCAAGAACATCAGAGACATGATTGTTTCCAGATCACGTTGCAGACCCCCTGGGAACGTAACGGGGCGTGCGCTCAGATGCTGCAGTTGGTGTTACCTGGGATGGCATTTCAGCAGTCAGACTGCCTCCTCAGGAGGTGTGAGTCCTGACTGCCTGTGCTGGCAGGGGCAGCTCTGGCCTAGCGGGCTGCTGGCTGTATTGAGAGTTCCTCAACTTTTTTGACAAGAACAATATCATGTTATTTTCGTTACAGACGGGACCCATCGGCACTCAGCATCCATTGCAGAGTGTACGTTCAGTAACAATTAAACATAATGGCTATTGATATTTGCTGCTGATGTATTTAAAAGTTTGAATTAATCTGTGCCTACTAAAAGGTCTCTCTTTGGAGGAAAACTGGAAAATTAGGGCTTTGTAACTATTTTTGCTAGAAGACTCGTGCTTGCATGTGTCTCAGGGTCTTCAGTTTTCCTTGGAAGTGTTTTTTTTGAGATCCAAAGTCCAGAGGTCATGTAAAGCTTTTTTTTTTTTTGATTGTTTGTTTTTAATTTCACTTCCAGTATTTATTGGTTTGGAAACGTAGTAAATCCATTCTTTTAAAACTTTTTATGGGGCCATGAGCTTTCATATTTAGATTTCTGGCTATTGCACTTATATTTGGATTTTTGTTTGTTTTTGTAAACACTTAGCTTCCAGTTTAACTTAACAAAAAACGCTATGTAAATATAAAGAAATTGGCTTTGGGGTAATGGAAGAAAAAAGACTGAATCTGAAAAAGTGTTTATATAAACAATTAAATTTCAACAGAGTATGGTAGCAAACCTCATGGTCATTTATATGCATATAAAGGCATTAATAGATCTGCTGCAAAATAGGATGGTGATGGCTGCATCCTCACTGTATGGTTCCTCTGGAGATTCACACCGTAGCATTCCAGTATGTGAATTAAACAAATATTGAGATAACAATTGACTGCTTATTTATTTTGTCCTGTTAAGGCATGCAGCTTATAAAGGTGCAGAAGCTGACGACTATATACATTGAACTCTGAGTTCCACAGCTGTTGCCTCGGAGCTGTTCCACGTGAAACATGTATAATTTTTGCCAGATCTGTAATGTATATAGTTGTACAGTCTTTCCTTAACATACTTTTTAAAGCTGTGTTCTACTTTCCATTAATCAATACTTGATATTAGTTCTTAGAGCTTTCTATGGCAAAAATAAAAAAAAAAAAGTTTAATTCTGAAGGTGCACGTAGCATGTTTCTTTTTAATGATAACTCTAACATGTTAGATTGCCAACGCTTTGTAGCTTCCTTTTCCAGGTCTCTGGGAATAACAAGGAACCCCTGAAGGGGGAGGTGGTTTTATTTGGGCTTAGGGTTCTTGGTGGTTTTTTTTTGTTTTGTTTTGTTTTGTTTTGTTTTTGTGGGGGGGTTTTGTTTGGTTCATTGGTTTGGGTTTTATTTGGTTCTTTTTTGTTTGCTTGTTTGTTTTTTGTTGTTGTTGTTGTTGAGCACTTTCCAAGAAAGCACATCATTAGCTGAAAAACTCTACCTATTTCTAACAAAAACTACCTACTTCTAACATCAAACAGCAGGTGACATCAGGACAGAATTAGGGCCAAACTCATACAGCAAATATGAAAGAAGTAGAGGAGACACTGACACGGCACTGGCTGGATTAATTACAAGTCAGAGCCCCTTGTTACGTGAGTAGAACTGCAGAATTATGAAGTGTGGGGGTATTTAGGGCTTTTAAAAGCAGAACTCAATAAAAGGTGTCTCTGCCTAATCCTGGTAGAAACTCTGGTTTCCAATATAGCAAATACAGCTGGGGTTTGGCTTTGGTTTGTTTTTAATGCATGATGCTATTATAGCAGCCTTCCTCAACTGACATCCAAGATCCTTGTAAAACAGGAAAGTTGCTAAAATGTCAAATGCAATTTATAAATGTTTACAAAAGTCACGATTTTATTTAACTTTGGTAAAGTAATAAAAGAGTACATATGAGTCACAATCTTGACATTCTCATAAGAAATGATGAATACGGTGCAGAATGTTGCATTGACATTAAAAGCTCAGTTTCACTCAAGCTGAAGGTAACAGGTAATTCAAGAGAAAATCCCACTGGTTCTTTTTTTTATATGTGAAAATAGACTTGTCCTTTTACAGTGAATTTAAAGCAGCAATGTAATTTTTGCCTTAATATTCCTTAGAAAAAAATAAGAATTTGGATAATTTCCCAAGTTTAGGATTTGTCAGCTCGAAACCAATAGCACAATCCTTTCTCAATTATTTCTCTGCCCTCAGGAGTTTCTTAGTCCTGTCCTGTGGTGTCCCCCAGTCCTTCTAGCCCTCTTTGGTTGACAGGCACAAACGGTAGAGTATGCTTGTTAGAAGTGGGACAGGACTGTTTGCTTTTATGCCAAAGATGCAGCAATAAAATATTTTCTGATATCAATGTGCCCTTCTGATTTGGGGAGAGTTTTATCAGGAGAAACACTGTCTATTTTGAAATTGCCCATGATCTCTTTATCAAGATTTAATTCAGAATAATGTAATATAAAAGGGATGATGCCCTAGTACACAAATTTATTTCCAGTCTGTAAATTTATGGGAGCTGCAGTTCACCAGTCTCTGGTGAAACAAAGTGTCACCAGGATGTGTTCTGTATACACTACTGCTTTAAATCCCCTGAGCTGCGTACCTGTCTCCAGCCTTTGCTTTTCTTTGTTACTGGAGAAAGGTTACACTTGCTTCTGGATAAACAGTGTCACCCTTTAGCTTATTGATACACCCATCAGGATGTGACAGTGGAAATGACAAGGTTAACACACAGCCTAGCCTAAAGGCTTTGCAAATGCACAGGATTAAAACCAGCATTATAAAGTGTGGGTGTACTTTGCAAAGTGAGATCAGACACAGAGCAATGTGTGGTTTCCATCTTGACCGTATTTTTTGTTTTAGATTAAAAGTAGAGAGATGCCACAGTTTAAAATCCACCTGGATTTCCCTCACCCCCAGCATGTATTCCACTTTCAGATTCTGAAAGCCAGATTTAGCTTTTGGGTACCTTTTTTTCTGCACCTGTTGAAATTAACGGTAGACAATCGAGGATCAGGGTCGACGACCCAATGCCAAGGAAGTTAAACCTTTAGGAAATAGGGAGTGAAATGTCAATACCTTATTTTTATCCCTGAAGTAAGCAGTTGAGAATGCTCAGGCTGAGCAGCTCAGCTCTGAACGCTGTCATCTGAAATCACTTCCTGGAGTAGAACCACACTTTACAGGACAGTGTGTCACATAACAAAGCTGACCTTCTTTTGTTATGCAGGATGCATGCAAAATCTGTTGGAATCTAGATCAATCAGCACAGTCATCAGCTGAAGATTAAATGAAAGTCACAACAATAATTGCAAATTCCTATCAGTTTCATCCTATATTACAGGGTGTTGAATTTTATCCATGTGAGACTTACAACTTGGAGAACTAGTTGGTGGATATTCCCTATGTGCAGCCCCTAATAGCTACTAAACCAGTGCTTATTCAGGGTGCTGATTCAGTCCATTGAAGAAGTTCAAAGTACAAGCTTAAAAAACAAAAATTCCCAACCAAATAGAAGGAAGAAAAAGTTTTCACTGCACTGTTTCAGTGACTGGTGGACAGTTTCTGATGCTCTTTATAGGAACACAGGAAAGATTTAGGCAGTGCAACCACCCAAACTGACTTCAGCATTACTTACACAGAATTCCAAGAGACAACTCCATTTCACCTTCTATCTTAAGAAGCATCCTGAAATACAACCAGCTTGTCTGTTAAAGCTTTTCCCCTCCAAAAAGCAAGATTCCAGTTGTTTTGCTAGACATATATGCAAATATCCTACAACATTACCTCTTCGTTAGCGTTAAAGTTTATGACACTGTTGCAGTTCCCCGCAAGATTTTTTCAGCACGTAGGCTGTGACCAGCAAGTGACATGAGCTAGGTCCTGCAGCCCCAAAAAATCCCAGCAACAGGACCCCAAGGCCAAACCAATGTCAAGTTGGGCTGTCTGCAAGCACCCTCACCTGAAAGACTGATGCTCTATCAGCTATTAATCTTGGCTGCCCTTACTTCAGCTTGGCACAAGATGGAGTAAGGCAGACCAGAATCTATCACCTGTGTTGTATCTCTTTATTAAAAACCAAGGACTACATGAACCTTGTGGTAAAACAAGGAGGCTGGAATTTAGGACTCCCACTACTCACCAACACTGCAAAACATCAGGAGTACACCCCCTTCCCCACACTCTGTTGTTACACCTCTGAAATAAGTCTCGCAAGAAAGAACAGTCCAACCTAATATATGTGTCTGCAGTTCTCTTCAGGATCTATCCTCCTGCTCCCTCCCACAGTAAAATATAAATACAAAATATTCACAATTATTTCAACGGCAAGTATTTTTTTCTTCTTTCCCACATTCTTCAGGGTGTGTAAGGTGGTGGCTTCTCAAAAGGTGGAAAATAGGGTGGCGAGTAACGAGGCGGCGCATTAGAGGACCACATATAGCTGGGAGATGGTGACATCGACGGGGGGTCATCGGAGAGGCCAGAGGGAGTGGAGGCTGGAAACACGCTGGAATGCTGCAGGGAGACAGCAAAAAGGCTGTCATATAACCACTTCTTAAGCTCAAGGAGCCTGGCAAAGGGATATTTAATTACCAAGCAGTGCAAAATTAACATTTCAAGGCTCATTTCTGCAAAACACATGTACATGCAAATAAATATTCAAATAACTTGTTGCATTCAAAGTAAGCACGGCCTGTAAGTAGCAGTTCTGCATAATGAGACTCTTTAGACCTAAAACTGAAGAAAGGACTTAAATTTTAAAAAAGTACATATTTCTCATCACTTCTGTGTACCTGCTGGATAACTCAAAACTGATGAATTGCTCTTACATGTTGGGCTTCACCCATGAGCCAGTGGCAATGATGAACAGGGTATAGATAATTTCTTTTTATGCTACTTTTTCTCTTCATTGCAAATAAAACCGAAAAAGAGCAGAGAAGCTTTGTGCCCTGGTGCATTCCTTCACCACCCTTCGGCTGCAGGCACGGGCTGCAAATGCCCAGTGTGCCCAGCTCAGGGCCCTGGCAGTGCTGGAGGTGCCAGCGATGGTGCCAGCGCTCATCGGCACACGCAGCCCCGGCCGTTCCCCGCTGCCACTGCCCGTGCCCTGCAGGCAGCCTGGCCCCCACCCACTGCAGGCAGCAGCCTGCCTCTCTGCAGGAGGTGCTGGGCAGATGGCACTAATCCCTCTTTCAACAGGGGCTGAAAGGCAGGAGGCCGCTGCTCGCCTGTGTTCCCTCGCCAGAGCCAAACGTGGCTTAGGGCCTGCAGAAGTCAAGGTGCTGCAGGACTGGGACCTTCTCACCCAACACACAGAGTGAGGAGTGGGACACCAGCACTAATTCCACCAGGGCTCCTTCCACCTGCCCAGTTCCCGACGGGGCCCATTGGCAAAGGCCTGCTGCCTTCCTCACCAAGACCAGCCACTGCAGCGTCATCAGCCACAGCACGAGCACTAGCTGCTGCAACACCCATCAGCTTGTGCTCCTCCAAAAACCAGAGCTTGGTCTGACATTTTAGAGTGGTGTGTGAAAGCCAAGCTCTTGCAGGGGCACAGGCTTCCTAAGAAATTCTGGAGTGTCGGGCTTCTTTTTCCTGTGAAAGATGTGTGGGAAGCACTGACTTGGCCAATTCCTGCACCAGAGGGAGTGCAGCCTCCAAGAGGGATATGAGAGGTGAAGCTGGGCTTGCTCCATGTGCTGCAGGATGGCAGAGGAGAAGGTGTCAGGGTGATACAAGCATTGCTGGGGTCAGAGTAGAGCTCAAGGCAAAAGTGTCCTCAGCAGAGGCCTCAGCTAATGCTTTCAGGCAGGCTCTCAAGTTCCCTTGAAGATAAGCACAGCTCAGACTTGGAATTGCATCTGAAAGAGAGACTTGGCCATTTTAAATTTAGGTTACTTCAATTTATGCCCAGCTTTTGTGCTGGCTCCTAAGCCAACACAGCAGTGAGACACAGGGAGACGTCCATTCATCCAGCTGAGCTGTAAGCATCAGCAGAGCCCCAGCAGTACTTCTGCTTGGAAAGCAGGGCAAATCCACCCATGCTGAGCTCTCTGCTGGTGCTGTGGCTGCACTACAGACAAACCCTGAGTTAAACAGTGCTTAGTACCAGCCAAATGGCTGAGGAGAGGACTTTGCAGCAGAGCTTGGTTTGGTATGTGCTGAGGTTGACATTTTTGTAACTGTAAAAAGTTATACAATACTAGTGTCTGTCCCAGGGTCCGTTTCTCTCAAAAATGAGTCACAAATCTGTATAAAGAAGTCCTAGTAAGTCTCATGTAAGTGTTCAAATATTCCTGGGAAACCCTGACAACAGTGCGGTCTAGTGGCACGAGCAGTAAGACCAGAAAGGTTTAGATTCATGTTATGGCTAATGCATATGTCTCCCTCTTATGAAGGAGATGGCAGCTATCACAGAGCACATTTCTTAGTTCATGTCCAACAGCTTAAGCTCTTGTTAACTAAAAAAAAGTCTCCAGCCTTGATGGTCGCAAAGAAAACATACAGTAAGTTAATTTAACATCTCCACTGTTCTAACATCCACCTGACAAAAAAGCTGAGGTGGAAACATCCTCATCGGCTTCAACCAGGGGAAGCTGATGATGACAGCCAGGTTCACATGAAATCACTGTTTCCAGCAGTACAGCTCCAGAACTCAGAAGAGGAAGGGATGCATTACAGCAGAGGTGATGTTTGCAGGCACTGTTCTCAGACAGCTGAAGTGTGTGTAAAAAACCAACCTAACAGCTTTTCAGTCAGGATGTGTCGTCAGGAGCTCAAATAGCTTGTTCCCAAAAGTTCATCTCTTTCTCTCAGACACAGCAGGTGGCCTAATAAAAACTAGCACCTGGACACCTCACTGCCCCTATCCTCAGAGCACTGCGGGTGCTGCAGGCAATGCTTATTTTTAACGTGGCCTCATCCAGTGAACGATGTGGGGAAGGAGGCAGGCAGCAGGTGCTGTTGCCTTCTCTTCAAGGACAGCTTTCAGCAGAACACTGCCATGAACCAATGCCTAGCAGGAAAGATTTAGTATTCTCTGCAGGAACAGGAAGATTAAACTGTGTGAATGACAGGAAGACAGGCTTCCAGAGTCCTGCAGACTGGCTGGATTTAACCTCCCTGCTCAACAAGAAAACAACCTGCAACATTCCCCACCTGAAAGTCGTATGCAGAGTAGGGAGGCAGGTGAGGAGTGCTGTGGTAGTAGGTGTTGTAAGATGTCACTTGTGGCCTGGAGTAGTAGGACACTGAAGGGTGTGCATTTTCAACCGTGCAGTTCAGCGTCGGGAGGGAAGGAGTCTGTTAAAACAAGCAGAAGAGAATCTCAGGCTACTGACCAAGTCACAGAAGGCTGACAGCCAGATGAAAGCAGAAGTGATTTAAAGGAGCACCGTGTGTCTTTAGAGCTCAACTCTGTTGAATTAGCAACTGGCAATCCAGTTCCCTCACAGGCAGCAGGTAAGTCCTGAGGTCTTTTCACTCCTCAGCCACCTATTGTCTCCTCTCAGACTCAACAGAACAAACTGGCAGCAGCCCAGTTTGTACTCACACAAGACAACTCTTCAGATTACATCTTCCCAAGTAGGAGAAAGAACCATTAATTTTCATTACTCTGTTATTCAGTGCATTTTGAGATCAATGTATTTCAACTCTTCTTGTACTGCTGTTGACACACTTCTATCCATCCTTTTTTTTTTTCCAGGGGTTTACAGGTCTAGTGGTTTAGAGGTCTGCTGTGGATCAAATCTCAAAAGGCTACTGTCTTGGTTTTGGCTGGAATAAAGTTCATTTTCTTCCTAGCAGCTGGTGCAGTGCTGCGTTTGGGATTTAGGATGAGAAGTGCTGATAACACACTGATGTCTTAGTTGTTGATAAGCGTGTTCATGCTAAGTCAAGGACCTTTCAGCTTCTCATACTGCCCTGCCAGTGGAGCCTGGGAGTGCACAAGAAGCTGAGAGGGAACGCAGCAAGGACAGCAGACCCCAGCTGCCCAAAGGGGTATTCCATACCATGGGACATCATGCCCAGCACACAAACTGGGGGTGGCTGTTTGGGGAACACCAGGGCACAGGGATCAGCTGGGCACTGGTCAGCAGGCAGTGAGCTACTGGATTGTGCATCACTTGTGTGGTATATTCTACTTTGTCTCCTTCCTTTTCTGTCCTGTTAAAATGTCTTTGTCTCAGCCCCTGAGTTTTACTGCTTTTTTTTTTTATTCTCTCTCCAGTCTTACTGGAGGGTGGAGTGAGTGAGTCTGGTGCTTAACTGTCAGCTGGAGTTAAACCATGACAGCCACGATGCACAACTGAAATGTGTCTCCTGTTTTGTTTGGGAACATCCTGGTGAGTCTGAAAAGAGTGTAGGAGAGGTCAGAGTTCTGAAATAAGGCACCCTTAGTGTAGGGTCCAAGATTTTTTTGTAAGAAAAATGTATTGCCATGACAACAAATGCTCTTTCCTGGGTGTCTCATTTTGTGTTATTCCAAATGATTCACAAGAGGGTGAAAAACCCTCCATATTTATCTGTTGAATGTTCAGTTCTCCCCATTGATTTGATTTCTGCAGAATAAAACAGTAGGGAAGGTAACAGGCAGAATGGTTAAGGGAGGGTATTTCAAATCTCATGTTGCCAGAACAGCAGTTTTTTCACTAACTGAATTTTGCAATGGCTCACCTGATTTTGATCCCCAGTTGACCCCCTCAGATTCTGCACTGTGAAGAAACTAGACTGAGAGTTTCTAACACAGCTGCTTAAACAGTCTGTACAGCTCAGAATCCTGCTACTGCTATGAAATCAATCATTCATGAGCAACCAGCACACGTTTCCTTGTAGAAGATCAATGCTATTAAAAGGAAAATAACTTTTCAAGGAAGAGCTTATTTTTATTCATCCTGGTATTGACAACACCTCTGAGAACATTCCTTTAGAAAAGACTGTTCATCTTTTCCAACTGTGTTTAGGTGGTGACACCAGATCAGCAAGTGAATCATTTCCACTTTCTCCTTACAGTTTTTTTCATGCCCTTCTTTCCAACCTGATTGCAGTGATGCATAGAACATTTGCACTGATACATCAATAGATGTTTTCATGGTTACTTTAAAAGACAATTTGCCTGATCTACTTCATTTCATGCCCAGAGAAATCAGTACCATCTTACCATGTCTTTAAAGCCTCCAAGTATTGCTGCTGTAATGATCCCCAGGAACAGCCCCACTATGTTCAGAATCGTTGCTGACCAAAGCAAGTGGTAAAGGTGGATGATGTCTTGGCAGCTGCTGACATCAATGTATTCATAGTAGCCTCCAGAAATTTCCACTCTGCTAGATGAGATAAAAAAACCCAATAATGATAAAAAAAAGCACCACATGTCATAAAACCTAAGGACTTCTGCTGGACAGTAGAATGCATTCTGTGATTTAATGACAGCCTGGGCCTAACTACTGAGGGAGTGGAGATGAAGCCTACTCGATCCAGTGCTTGTGGCTTTTGAGGTCTCCTTGCATGACAACAGCAGAGGCTGGCTGGATCTGCTGTGAAACAACCAAGTCCTGCAAGGCCTGCAAATACCCAAATAACCTTGAGGCTGATTTTGCCTCTTACTTTTATCATGTGAAATCTGTGCAGAGATCCTGGAGGCTTCCCAAGGACTGCTGCTTGGGGGAACAGGCTGGCCCTTCACCATAGCTTACCAGATGTGGTGGGCTACAGCAAACTCTCCTTAGGAGAATATCTATCATGAACAAACAATTCTTAGGGCTTATGAAGGACAGGGGCTTCATGCAGAGCTGAGGCAAAGTGTCCCCAGAGGTGGTGGAACCTGTAGGTTAGCCTGCATGACCTGGGTATAAGCTGAGCACACACCGTGACTGCCTTTGACAACACAACCTGTATGTGGTGTTTGCAAGTGCTCGTTCCTATGGAGATGAGTGAGAGTGCAAAGCTCTCAGCCAGTCTTGGTGCACCCCCGAGAACATGCAGCACTGTACAGACAGCACAGCATGTACTCATCAACAGGAAGGGGCTCATCAGACACTGCCACAGCCGGGGTTCCCAGCATCAGGAGGGGTACAAGATTGCTGTCACTTTTCTATCATCTCCATCCTTCACACAATATGTGAGCTAACCAGCCTTGAGTGTCTGTGCCTTTCTTACCGAGATCCCAGAAGAACCAGGATCTCCCCATGCAGAATACTTGTGTGGTACTAAGCAAGACTGAGATCAAAACAATGGATATTTTACATCAGAGTGGGGGAAAAGGGTCAGAATCAGGCCCCTGAGCCAGCCTGACCAGGAAAAAAAAAAAAAAAAAAAAAAAAGAGAAAAAAACCCAGTAAAGTTATGTTTTTCTATTCCAATCACTTCTTTGTGTATTGCTCTCTTCAGCTCGTAAAAAGGGATGGTGTTCTGTAAACTGTCAAAGCCAAGTGTGAATCTCACCCCTCTGCAGTGGCTTCCACAGAAACAATGTCCTACAGAGACCAGGGATTACCCTTCCCATCACACATAACCACCTCTCCCAACAGCAGCTTTTCATCTTCCTCCACCTCAGCCAATGATTTAAGTGGGGGTGAGCCCAAATAAATACTGTGAGAAATGCTAAGCCTGAAACAGCCCTAGGCAAGAGCCAGCACTAAACCAATCAATTTATTAATTGCTTGCTGACACACTTTAGACACTCCAAATGATGTAAGCAGCACATGCTGCAAATTAAGTCGGCTTAGGCAGAGTAGCCAGATCTGATGATGGTTTGATAACTATGCAGTAGTTCTTGATTGGTAACTGCCCCTCTGACTCATCTTTGCACAGTGCTGGTACACATTCCAACCTCTTGTGACCATGAAAGATACTCGCTGGGCACAGGGGACACTGATTTAGGAACATGCAGGTGGCACCAGCCTGTGAATTCTCCTGTTAGTGGGGTGGGGAATGAAACAGTGATGAGGTGAGGAAGAACAGTGTCCCAGTCTTAAATCTTCTAAAAGAAGATAAAACCCTGTAAACAAGCAGTGCCAAGGGATAGGGAAGGTGTTAGGTCAAGGGACACCCAACAGGGGAAAAACTGGGGAAGTCACCAAGCATAGAAGTAATGGAAACTGCCACTCTCTTAATTTTTCCATCTGGGCTGGCCTGGAGCAGACTCACCTGTAGCTGGGATAGCTTTAATGTATTTCACACACCCCTTCACTTGGTCAGCTGTTGCCTGGGAGGCCTTGTGGCTGGCAACCACAGGTTAAGATCCCTTCCCACAAGGGCTGTCATTAACGAATACTCTGCTCCTGCCCTATCCTGGTCCTTCTGCAATCCACCACCTGCAATCCAGCATGACCACTGCTCGCCCCTCCCACGGCCAGGAATGGTATTTTTAGCTTACTCACTTTCCACAGTTGTACAGGTCACAGCAGAAGCAGGTGTTGGTTTTTATTTTCGGCGTGCAGGGTGCACGGCGCTGTGGATGGCAGACTGCCTGTGTGAGTACAGGAAAAAAATACATAGACATAACCACCAAACACGGTTTCTGCTGCTATTAGGCCTGCTCTACATGTAGATTTTGCACTGATCTTCAGACTAGCCCCAGGCAGATTTTTCTTTCTTTATCTTACAGCACAGCTCCTACAAAGTGCTGTTCCACTAGACACAGCAGTGTAACAGACCAGGACACACTAGGCTGTAACAGACCAGTGTTTCCTTTCACCATGGGGAAGTCACAGATAAGCACGTGCCTGCATAGGAAAGTGGTTGTGCAACTCTTACAAGCAGCCCACACCTTCCTGAACTGACACCCCTCACCACAGAGCAACTCAGAACAGTTAATTGTCTGCAGTGTGTAGCAATACTCAAGTTCACATGGATGGTATATGGGCTGCAAAGACAATGGGTCCCACCAATGCCACTGGGTAGTACCTTTTATGTCAAGCAGGCATTTTATTTTAGAATAGAGCAGTCATTCAAAACTACCTGGGAACCTGTGAGCAAGTCTGAGACAGTGCACAGCAAAGGCAACCAGAGATGTCCATAGGAACATCTGTCCCCAGCATGCTTCTCTGTGGAGAAGACACCAGACAGCAGAAGTGCAGAGGCTGGTACATGTTGCTCACATCCACAGAAGTGACTGCTGTCCCATCTCTTAACCCACCACCTTGCTTCCATAATGAACGTGCAGCTAAAGATCTAGAGAAACTGGTGTATTTTCCTGTGCCACATCCCCTCCTCCCCACTTGCTCCTTCATTAGTGTGGCAGTACCAGGCAAGGAGGAATTTACTCCCCGAGTCCTCCCCACGCTCCGCTCCCGTCCCAAGCCCAGCCCCCCCCCACTGCTCCATTTGCAGACCTCCTGGACACCAGAACACCAGCAGGTTCCTCCCCGTGGCCCAGGACGCCAGCCCCTCCAGGCAGAGGGCGGAGCCGAGGCTGCTCTCACCTCGGGTGGGGTCGTGCTCTTGGAGTAGTACTGGCATCGCCCCGCGTACAGCGGCCGCAGGTCCTGGCAGGGGAGAGACCGGGCTTAGCACTGCAGAGACCCCACAGCAGCCAGCTGGGCTGGGAAAGGGGCCAGGCTTGGCAGAGACTCTGCTGTCCCAGCAGCACCTCGACAGACGGGCTGTTCTGTAACACCGACCCACGGCAGCCCCCCACCCAAGCCCCCCTGAGCCCCAGCCCATGTTTAACCCTGGTCCTTGCAGGCATGTATTTGTTTCAGGGACTGTGGGAGGAGCAGGTTCTTAAGCCGGGCTCCTCGGGTTGAGGGCAGCCACCCCAGACTGAATGATTCCTTCCTCATCCCCCCAGACATATCCTTGGGCTGCCTGACGGGTTTCTGAGGGTTCTTCACGCTGAATCATAACAATTTCTTATTCAATTGTTGACAAACTTGTCCTCCTGGGCTCTCGAGTGACTTGTGGGAAAGGTCTGGAGGATTACCAACGGCTCAGCCTGCAAACATGCAATTAAACATCTCTCTGAGGGGCAGCCTGGCCCCCGGGCAGAACCCCAGGGAAACCTACACTGGACGTGTGTCCACAGCAGCAAGCCCTTCCCAGGAACAGCCCAGACTTGCTCTCTGGGTGTCTGGCCCAAAGCTCGGGGTGGCAGCAGCAGGTGACGAGGGGAACGCTATGTGCTAGCGTGGCAGAAGCAGGTCTCCAGCAGGATGGTGACATTTTTGGACCTTTAGGGGTGAAGTGAGGCCAAACCCACGTTCGTTTATCAAGAGGCTGAAACCAGAGCCCTCATCACCCAACGGCTCAGCTCTGGCTGCTCAGACACACAGACACCCCCAGGGGCAGCCGGGAGGAGGTGCCAGCTCATGCCATCACCCAAGCCGTGAGGTCAGCACCTAGAAATCCCAGAGCAAGCCTGCAGGGCTCAGACCCACACAGCCAGCACCAGGTGTCAAAGGAGCTTCACTTTTTTATCAATGCCCTGGAAAGGAGGGTCAGAGGTGGCCAAGAGTTGTGGGTTGCATCCAGTCAGACAGTGACCTATCATGCAGCTGAGTGGAGCTGCCCTTTGCTCTGTCAGCAAATCCTGCTGCTCAGCTGTCTGTTTGCCACTGGAACACGCAGGGGCAGGAAAGGGGAGCTGGCTTTACAAGGAGGCTAACCTGCCAGCTGACATGGGGAAGTGTCCACTTCATGGGTAATTCTGACCTTCTGAAACTCCTTTCCATTCTGATCACACACATCGAATCTGTCTTTTTAATTCCACTTTGTCAAATTTTTTTTAAAAAAACTCATCAAAAAGGCAGAGCTGCGGGACAAAAATCTGTTTGCAGTTATAAATTTCAATTAAAAAGTTCAAAATGGAATGGTGTTTTTTCATTTCTATGCTAATAACTGAGGCTTTTGCACATCCTGCTGTACTCGCGGTTGGTCCTGACAACAGTAGCTTGTATTTTTTTAAGTCATTGAATTGAATCTGAAAACCTGCTGGAAGTGCTTTCTGTTTATACTGTAAGGCTTTAATGAGCTTCGTATCAAATTGCTTCATTCTACTACAACATCCAGCAGTCCAGTCAGCATTAAGAATCACCTCTGTTAATAGTTAAAACACAATGGATGTCACTACTCATATACTGTCCCCTGACAACAGCTGTAATTCATGTTACATCTGAGACTCAGTAAACACATAAAACACACACAAAGAAACTAAAGCAAAGTTTTAAGAACTCAATGCTTGGTGTTAATTTTAAAATACTGGAAAACCTGCTGCATTTTCTAAAGGTTAGGATTTAAAACGGCACATTCAGCACATGACAGGTATTTACAGGGTCTGATGTGGCCTGATATAGGATTACAGACAGCATTACATGTTTTCCTAGAATAAAAGCACTGCAGGACCTGTGTTTTCCTGGAAGCACTTACTATGTGTCTGGCAGCAAACACACCGTCTACTATGGCACAGCAGAAGGCAGCAATGACACCAAAGCTGATGAAGACGATCGATGCGACCAGCTGAGAAAGGAAAACAAAGCAAAGTATCATCTGCAGCTCCACAACCCAGGGCTTCATGCCCTCTTCTCAAGGATACACGAACCACAGTCAATAAGCCCTCAAGCAATCAATGACCCAAACGTTTGCCCAGGCTGGTCTCATTGAAGGCAATGGGGTGTGTGTCTGGAAGGAGAGCGTCTGCTCCTGCAAGGTGGCAGGAGTTGGAGCCCCGTGCCAGCCTGGTCCTCTGGGGACTTGATACTGTAATGTGAGTTTCTCCATGGCTCCAAAGCACTAAACTTAGGCTGAAGGATTCACCTCCTCTTCTGGCTGCTGTGGTCCTTAACACTTCCCTGGAGAAGAAGGAGGAGATTTCTTCTCTCCCCATCCTGGAGTGCTGCGGGGAGCTGCTCCTGGGAACACTTGCCAGGCTGTAAGGACACAGCAGACTGCTGTACACAAACCTCTCCAGTGGGACTCTGCCTCCAGGAAGAAACACTTTTGTGCAGGCATAAGCTCAAAGCCATGAGACTAGAAGGCAGATGACCAGCCTATGCCACCAGTGTTGTAGACCCTCACAGCACCCTGGATGGGCTCCTTGGTGCTGGGTTGTGGAGAGCACAACCCATAGAGCCTCCTCCTGGCTTGAGGGAGCTGCAAGGAGAGAGATCTCTACCTTCAGAGAGATCTCCACCTTCAGGTCAAGTCTGGCGGTTTCTGATCCTCTTCCACTGGCCCCATCCTGCCCATTCTTAAAATTTGGGCAAATATGTTCAGAAGGTAAACCAGAAATACTCAACCCCCAACCCAGGTATGAGAAATAAAGTGCTCCCACTGTGCCACTTTAAACACCACCTCTGGCAAAGTGCCAGTGCTCAGCTGGAAAGCCATGCACGAGTGCTGACTCAACTCCTCTCCTTGCTCCTGAGCAGCACCTTAGCTGCTGCCAGTGGGCTCCTGAGCAACCCATCCCCCACAGAGCTCCCCAAAACTGATCCCAATCCTCCTGGCCAAAGCACACCAGGGATGTTGAAAGGGCCACGGAAGGAGGCAAGCATGGCATTCAAAGAAAGAGGTTCCTAAAGATGTGGCTTGGGGAACAGCAGTGTTTCCATTTAAAGAACTGAGGGCTTTAGTGGGTTTTTCCCTGACGGTTTTCCCCTCCAGTGATCACAGCTTTCAAGTGTCAGCCACTGGCAGCTGCTTAAAACTCCTTCTCCACAGGTACAAAGGTGACTCTGGTCATCAGGAGCTTTAACCAACAGTAAAATTACTAACAGCACAAGTGCAAAAGCAGCAGTTAACTTGGCCAGCACTGACAGATATCACCCCTGGCACAGGGGTGTTTGTTTTAAAGCTCCAGGTGCTAAGGCAGCTTGAAAACCTTGGTTCCTGACACGGGAGTGGAGGAATCGGTTCTCAGAAAGACAAGGCAAAGCCCTTGACAAACACACACCTATACAATCCTATATGTTTTTCAAATGTATCTCAGAATTTTTAGGTTAAACACACTGTTTTAACCTAAACTTCCCTCAGAGAAATCAGACCTCCTGCCAACAATCTCCACACACAGACCAGGTCAGCTTGAGCAATGAGCGGAGATGCAGAAGACAGTGGAAATGGTCCCTGTACAATTGCTTACTTAAGTGGGCTTCAAAATGAAAGAAAATTAAATTCTTTTCTAGATGAGGCAATTATTCAAGATATACACTGTCCCACAGCAGTAAAAACTGCAGCAGTAGATAGACCAGAGTGTGAATCTAACCCAGTGACCATCCACACAAGTCATGGTCACCAGTAACAAACTGTTACTGTGAAATTAGATGTTGTGCCACAAAGTACTTGCAGATGGCAGCAGGTGACAAGTTTTCCAGGATCAGCTCCTGCATTGGGACCTTGTTTCTGTCAGCTGTAAACACCAGCATTTTCCTCCCCACTCAGATCACACCTTGCACTGCCCGGGACAGCAGTCACAGTTTCACTAGCAGTTCACCAGCAAAACCAACCAGTGAACCCACACGGGGGGAGAAAGCTCAGGTGCTTACTGTCTTGGTGGGAGAAAGGGGGTTTATGGCTTAGAGGTCACTTTGTAGCAAGTTTATTTTTTTTTCCTGTACTGTCCTTTGTTTCATACATACATGAAAGTGGAAATTCTCCCTAAGCAGAACAACCCTTGGAGATGGGATGCGAGTCAAACACTAAATATATACAATTAGGGTATTTGTCAGTCGCTTCTGCCTGCAGACAGGAGCAGCTAATATGTTTTTTCAAAATAATACCAGGTTAATGATGATACCTTGTAACAGCCCTACTAGGCTATAAGGACCTGGTGTTAGAAATAGATTTGCTCACTTTATTTACACACAGTTTCCTTCAGCTGGAGAAAGAAAAACCAAATAATAAAGAAAATCAAACAGCAAATAAAACCATATAACAATTTTAAAAATCCCATGGTTTTCAACTCATGTCATGATCTGGCAACCAGATTTGTGATTTGGGGTTAATACTGTTACTGTAGCAAGAAGAGGTCCCTCTCAAGAGCTGTGTGATATTAGTGACAGGTCTTTGTTCAGCTAATTCCTGCCAAAGTCAGCCACGCTGAGTAGCATTTGTACAAGAAAAGACAACCTGGGTTCAGATAGTACAGGAACCATGGAGCAGGAGTGTCCTCTGCTGAGGTACCCTTTAGGCCATGCTCCAGCGACACGGGGGCTACGAAAAGCTGATGGTTATTACTCTTCCATGGCATTAATGAGTCACAAAGGCCCAAAAAATGCTGACTCCTCACTTGAAAACTGCTGAGCGGGCAGCTCGGGTGTGAGTCCAAGCTGCCTGCAGTGCTGCCAGCCCGGCGGGCAGCATGTTGGGCAGCTGGCCCTCCCTGGGGGGACAAAAGTTCTCCCTTACTTTGGCAAGCAGGAGGCGCAGACGTGGGACATGAAAGCCAATCTGCTCGGGTGGGAAAAACAAGAGAGGTCTGCTCCTGTTGGCTGGCTGGAGAGGAGTGAGGGGTGCTGCTTTGGGCGGGCCCTCCCCGCCAGCTGCCCAGCTCGCTCACGCTCCCCAGCCAGCTGAAGGGCAGAAACACACACAAGAATACACAGCACAAGTTGCTTTTGGTTCTTTCTGCCACCGCTGAAGAGCAGCTGCATAACCAGCAACGGCCAGACCGCCTGGCAGCAAAGTAGGACACTGGGGAGGTTCAGAGAAGATTAAAAAAAAAAATCCTGCTCTGCCACTGGTATTATGGAAACATGTAATGGACAAAGCTACCACTGCAAGGTGCTCCTGGGCACGGAGGAGACGTGACTAATGCATGGGGACAATAAGTGACAGCTCCTGGATGTCCTCTCTGCGGTCAGAGCAGAGACACGCTAGCTGCCAGCCGAGGCAGCGGTGACGCAGTCCCTGCAAAGCTGGGTCATGCATGCTTTTGGGGACACAAAACGACAGAGTGATGAAAAGGATAAACACAGGCTACCCAGGGCTCTTCAGAATAAACAAACAAGTCAAGCCAGAGCCACGCTGTCGCTCATGGGCACTCCTGTGAAGAACACAGGACTGGTATAACATGGTCATTACACAATCAGGCTCTTACACGCGGCTAACAAACGATGAGCAAGAGGCTTGGCAACCCTGCTAGGACAGAAAGAACAGGACATGCTGCTCTCGCAGAGCCAGGCTGAAACAACAAAAAACAGCCACTGGGAAACCCACCTCCCCTGCCCTCTGACTGTGGGAAAAGCAGTCTTCCTCTCCTGCAGGGTCTGCCTCACCCTCTCCCCCCTGCTCTGCAGGGAAGACGCTATTTGCAAAGCCCAGGGCAAGGCAGCTCAACCTCTGCACTAGGACAAGCAGGAATTCCTCCCCAACTCCCTTTGCAGCTTTGTCATAGTTTCGGCCAGCTTTTTTCTTTCCCTTCTTGGTAGCTTGCTTCTTAGTAGCTAGACTAGTGCTGTGTTTTGAATTCAGTATGGGATTTGGTATGAGAAGAATGCTGATAACACAGTGATGTTTTTAGTTGTTGCTAAGGAATCAAGGTCTTTTCAACTTCCCATGTCTTCCTAGTGTGCAGGTGCACCAGAGGCTGGGAGGGAGCACAGCCAGAGCAGCAGACTCAAATGGTCCAGTGGAATATTCCATAGCATACAACGTCATGCTCAGTATAGAGCTGGGGGTTAGCTGGGAAGCTCTCTCTCTCTCTCCTGGGATTGCAGTTTTGGGATGATTTCCTTGGGGACCACTATCTGGGAAAGGGCTGGGCCTTAGTCAGTGGATGGGGAGCAAATGCACTACACATTACTCATTTGCATAGTCTATTATTACAACTACTATTATCATCACTACTATAATTTCACTTCAATTATTAAACTGTTTTTATCTCAACCTACGAGTCTCCTTACCTCTACCCCTCCAATTCTCTCCCCCAGCTCCCTGGGGCAGAGGGTGGGGGAGTGAATGGCTGCGTGTGTCTGGCTGCCAGCCAGCTTCAGACCAGGACAAGCCTGGCAAATGAGCCTTAGCTTTGGTCAGAAGCACCCTCTGCTAACCTGATCCCCAAGACCTCCCAGCAGAGGCAGCTCCATCCCTGCAAAAAAGGGCCAGCAGGACAGGCTGTGGGGACAGCACAGTCTTGGCCCTGGGTAACCTCACAGGAGGAAAGCTGAAGGGATCTTGCTGTCCAAGCATGGGGCAGCCACTGGGGAGGGGGCTTGCAGCCACTCTCCCAAGAGAGCCAAGTGGAGGCAGGAGGCAGGCATGTCCATGGGATGCTCCAGGAGCTGGCCTCTACCTCCGAGCCACAGGCTACCTTTAGCCAGCCACATGCAGCAAGCAAAGAAAACAGGCTAGGAAGGATGGAGCTTGACAGCCTGCCAGGACCACATCAGCTACCAGCTGCTTTTGATCTCTTTCTACCCACACCTTTTGCTTAATTTTCCCCAGAAACTTTCCCCCAGCCTAAGCCCTGTTGCTGACACCTCCAAGCACTACAGCCCCTATCTTCAGGCACAGGCAGAAGTATGAGGGGTTTATGAAAAAGCATCTTAAAGACATGATTAGGGGCCTTCAGAGACCCAGCCAAGTCACCTCCTGTGCTTGCCAAAGGGGCTAATCTGAGCCAGCTCTGCCCCTGCTGCACAGACAGACCCCTTCCCGCCCCAGCACAAGCTCATCTGTGATTGCATCATATCAGCAGCGCTGGTCTCACCTGGTTTGTGCTCTCTGGATATTCACTGCCCACCTGCTCTCTTCTGAAGGTTGGTCCCACAGGATGGGACATCAGAGACCTGCCTAGCCAGTGGCTGCCCGGCCCCAGCACACAAAACCCTCCTTGCAGTGCAAGGAGGGAACCAGAGGGTGCTGTGGTCCACACACGCGATCTAGCCAGCGCCTCCTGTGCTTCTCAGGTCCCCAGCTGCTGCTTCACAGCATGCAAAGTTTCTCAGTTTTCCTTCCTACTTGAAGGTGTGTTTGGAAACAAGGACCAGCCCCATGCATGGTAACCAGCAACACTGGAGTTGGTTGATTTTCATTTATATCCATCTTCACGCTTTTTGTCATGCTGACACCTCGAGTGACTTATTCTCAAGACAAATCTAGAGCAGAGAGCTCTAAGTACTCCTGTTCTCAGGAAGGACTTTCTGATGGGCCCTCTAAGGGCTTTCATCTCCAGCCTCTAGGATGGCTGTTACACGACCTGCTTGATCTTCTCTGTCCTTTGCTTAGAACAGAAAGTGGCCAAAAGCAATTTTTGCAGAGCACCAAGCCTCTAAGAATTTATTTGAAAAGACTCAAAATAAATGTATTATGTTATTTATCGTATTACGTATCACATACTGTGATAGCTCAATGGAAAAACACACTTCAAACACTCAATTTCAAGCCCTTAAAAAAAAAAATCCCACTGAGTTCAATGAGACTGTGTGTAGTCACTTTGTGTTTTCTTAATTTTTTTTTTTTTTTTAAATTAAAAACCATCAGGGTTAACAGCCTTGTTCTCCTGGGCTGCCAGAAACCATCTGCAGTTCTCAAGAGCTAAAGAGGGATGCAACACTACTTTGGAATAGTTAAGACAACCAATAATACTTTTTACATATAAAATTTGAGTTACTGTAGTTTTTTTTTTCATTTCTAAGCTTTTATAATGAACTTACCATTTGCCTTTTGTTTTCTATCAAGTTTGATCCAATTATTCCAAGAAACGACCCAAAACCAAGCTGAAAAACAACACATTGTTAGCATTTAGACCAGGATGATATCCAATGTATTTTACAGACAGACAGAACACAAATCCAGAAGCAGCAAAAGAACATAGTGTGGATGTGTGAGCACTCTTCCTTCAGCAAGGCATCAGTGGAGTCTCTCACTAGCAGGAGCTATCAAATATATCCCTTATATGACACTAAAAGTGTGTGTAAAAACCAAAAGGATGAGTTCTGAGTTCCATTCCCTCCCCAGTGATGCTGAGAAATGGCTGGTGGATGAGGATATGCACTGCTGTCTTGGAACAACCCTACAGACACTCAGGGGCCTCCAGATGCAAACCTAGCAAGACCACATCACCAGCATCTGCAGGACCAGTCTCCTGGAACCTCACCAAGGGTGTGGACAATCACGTAAGTTTTCAACTTAGAGTTTCTTATGTGAAGTATGAAACAAGAGAGAATTATACTCGGGAAGATTTAGCAGTTTTCTGCTGCCTTCTACTCCTCCCTCACTCCCATGATGAGGATGCATCAGCCAGGGTCTTCTACATGAAGAGCTCACCCTGGCCCAGCCAACAGAATAAGACATTCCAGCCAAAGCACCTTTTCTTGCTGCTGTAACTGGCAACACAGCTCTTATTTTAGCTCCGTGAAGTCAGCGAGGAGTTCAATTTCCCACCTCCTTTCTCTATAGCCTGAAGCTATTTAGCTACACTAAACAGAAGTTTCTAGGACAGAGCACACTTCAGCCAGGCCAGAAACAGGAACTTCAGCCAGGAACCACAGACTGGCGGGGGGTGGGGGAGATGCAGAAGTACTTGTGTGTCACTGAAAAAGGTCTTTGATCAGTGTAGAGCATTTCCAACTCCACTTCTATGGGTCAGCAAAATGAGCAATGTGGGGGAAGTCCTACAGTTGGACTGGTCATGTTAAGCAGGTACAAATCTAGGGGAGCAGTGAAGATCTGGGCGAGGATGACAAACAACTGGGCAAATCCTCAGGAAGCAGAATAAGGCAGGAGACAAGCTGCAGCAATTCAAGAATGAGTCAACTAACCCGGAATCAATATTTTAAGATCCATGAATAGAAAACAAAGGTTTAATAAATCGATAGTAACAAGCAGAGGCACGTGTGGAGATTAGCAGACACAAGTGTGATGAAAAGTTGGGTTTAAATCTTCCCCCACTCTGCTTAAGCCCAGTAACAGCGGGTGCAGCACAGGGATTAACGTGGAGCAGCTGACCAGGCTGCTGCTTCCCAGCTGCTCCCCTTGCACTCTGAGCTCTCGGAGACCATTGTCCCCACATCAGGGACCAGCTACCGTGGTGGGCAGCACAGCAGGGAAACCAGGTACTGCTTAGCACTGGGGCAGCAAGAAGTCAGGGCAGAGAGGCAGGAGCACTGCTGAGCTGCCCCAAACTGATCTGCCAGTGCTCCTGGGCCGATGACTTTGCTCAGTTTGGACAAGCAATAACTCCGACCCCTTCCCCAAGCAAAAGGAATTTTACAGCTCAATTCCAAGCCCAAAATCTGGGAGGATCAAGGCATTAGCAGTGGCATTATTTTCAGTCTGGTGATGTTTAGCAGGAAGGAAGTTGTGTGGCAACACACACCTAAGGCAATGCTCAGGAGAAAAAGTTTTGTGCCCTTTGAGCTTGATTCAACACATTTAAGAGAAATGTCCATGTGGTGTTCCAGAGAAGCCTCAAACCAAAAGATCAAATACTTGAGATAATTTAAGATAACTCACAAAGAGGAAATTAAAGCAAGTCTGGACATCCTACAGGTGAAGATCAAATAAATCAGTGGATTCTCATTAATTAATGGGAATTCTCATAGCATTAATGGGAAAAACACTTGCTCTTCTACAGATGGGACAAAGAGATCTTAATAATCTGCATCAACTGCATCACTTATTTGCCAGTGGATGTGATCCCCTGGGATGCCTGTCTAAAAGGAGGGCAGAACAGAACGTGCTTTTCCAGAGTAAAGCCCCAGGCCAACATGCTTGACAAGGAACAATTACAGGAGAGGTTTGCCAGACAAATCCTAAGCCAGGTCAGCCATTTATACAGACACTGGAAGCTGGTATAACTTGGAGACAACACAGGCATCTCACAGAGCCTCCCCTCCATAAGGGTGCTTGCCCTCTGCATCTGATCATTACTCGCATCTGCTGAGCTTCACTCTGGGCTTCCCAAGCCCAGGTCACTCATCCAGCCACAGGTGAGGAGACTTCCCAAAGAGGCACAGCCAGAGCATTCACAGAAGTCCCCGTGGAGGTGGAGGTGGTCATGGAGGAGGGTGAAGATAGCCTGGCTACAGGACATGTCATCGCACCCTCTGCTTCAGCTCCTCCAGCCATGTCAGTGAGGAACTGCAGTTTGGGAAAAGAAAACAAAACCCCAAACCTGCCAAAAAACCCAACCAAACAAAAAACTACTGATGCATGTGGAAGGTCTCCACTGCCTGGTTCTGTCTTCCCTTGGGAGCAAAAGCCTGGGAAGATAACACCCCACATCAGACAGCTGCTTGGCAAGTTTCCTCCTTGCACAATAAGTGTTTGCCCAAGACAGGTCAAAGGAGAAAAGAATGGAGCTGCTGCTTTGGGGCTGTGGAAGTCACTTGCTTGGGGATGACTCGCTGAGTACTCCTGCACCACAGCAAGCCCTTTTTCCACAGTAAAGGGAGAAATCCCGGCTCGTTACAAAACATCAGCTATTTTAAGCACCTGCTGAAGCATCCAGCAGCTCACTGAAATGTTTTCCTGTGCAGGGAGACAGGCGAGGTCATCACACATCTCCACACAGTGAATTAATGAACTAACTGAGAGGTGGAATTTTGTGACAAAGACGAACTGTCAAGGTGCCTCAATGCCCTTCCCAGGTTCAGGAATTCATTAATTCCTTGAGTTGATTGAGCCTTACAAAAGTGTAAGTGATGCTGATGTTCCCGGAGCATAAATAGCAGGGAGAAGGCAAGGGGATGTGAACAGCAGGCTCTTCCCATCTGCATCCATCTGCAGGACTGCTCTGCAGCATGAGGTCCAGCTCAGGCTGGCAGAGCGTAGGCTAAGTGTGGGGAGTCTGAAGCCAGCCTCTCACCTTTCCCAACACCTTCCTTCTGTACATCTCTTTTAAAAAGATCAGGCAAATGCAGGAGTTACTGGGACAAGCCAGAAAACCAATCCTACACTGAAGAGGTTCAACACAGGCTGTAACAACGTTCCATGCTAATGGCTGCAAAGTGGCTTTCTTCTGTCATAGAAGAGCCTGACCACAAACCTCCCGGAGATCAGCAATGTGTGGCAAATAACACAAACCACAGTCAAGTCTCAACCTAGGTATCTGGACTGGCTTTAAGCCTCCAACTTCGAGGCTCCAAACCTGAACACACAGCATTCCATAGCTGTTACCCCAGGAGTTTCTAGCTGGGGGCTGCAGTGACACTCACCCTGCTAAGACACCTAATTTGGCTGTAGCTCAGTGTTTTTTGTGCTTCTTCTTGAGCATGTCTCAGACATGCACAGGAACAGACCAGGACTTGATTTACAGCTTGTGTCAGACCTCTGCTCATGCTGGGAGGGGCATGATCTACTTGGCCCTTATGCTACTGCAGGAGGTTACACATCTACTGGCAAGAAGGCTGGGCGCCAGTGTTCTTCTCTAAATCGAGCCATTTGAAGCTACAAGGCTGTCCTTTCCCATTTTCAGTTGATAACAAAAAAGAAGAAATAGATGTGCTGGCTGCTTTGATGTGCATGCTTCCCTGGCAAGGTTCCACAGCTATTGCTAACGTGCTTCTCCTCAGGCTGGGACTCTGGATCATTAAACGCTCTGCAAGTGAACTTTATGACCACGAGTTCACGTGAACAGTGCTTCAAGACCTGGTGTCTCAACTGTTCTTGGAACCTATGGTCCCTCTTTGCCTTACTTCTGCCTGGGGTTAATGCAACGCATGCAAACAAAGAAGTTCTAAGGTTGCTTTGACTGACATAAGACCTATTTATCTGTCTCACCCTTGGCTTCAAAGCACGTTACTACCTAAGTTCAGAGGAAGCTGTCACTTGGATGGGAGTTTTGCATGGCAATGAACAGCAGGTGCAAAATAATAATAAAGCAAATAAATCAAATGGCAATGAAGTAGCTGAGCATAATATCCAGGACAAGATCACCCTTCATAACATTTGCAGCATTACAAGGGACTTTGTAGGCAATAAGTTTTCTAGACCTACCTAGGAGTTCTATACTTACAATAACCCCTGGGTAATAACCTCCAACAGTCACATTTTGGGTTCTTGTTGTAGCAGCTAGGCCCACCGTTAGAATTAATACTGACACAATGAGGAGAGTCACAGTTACGTAGAGGGAATTTCTTTTTCTTCTATTGAACGACCCTAAAAACACACATACACAACAGAATTTGCTGATTCCATCTGGGGACAGTCATGGCACTGCAAACTTCTCCTCCCACCGCCAACCACATCATGGTGCATTGTCTTTCTTCTAACTTGAGAACAATTTGGGGTTTGGCTGTCACTTTTCACCTTCACTGAAATGCTTTATTAACTGCTACTAGGGCATCTGAATTCACATTTACTTATCATTGTTCTGACATAGATGAAGGGAGCCTTAAAAATTAACTTTGCAAAGCTCATCTGGATCCACCAGAGCCCCCCCAGCCCTTCTGGCCTGAGGAAATGGAGCTAATGAGAAATATTACCATTAGGCACTTATATATTTTCTGATCTATCTACTTATATCAAGCTAAATAACCACGCTGTACACCACTTGTTTTGGGGGGGAAATCTTGGCTGTAATTGTAACATAAAACATTCACAATTTTCCATGTAAATACGACATCACCAGAAACAGCCACTTCTCTTCTTCCTGTGGTATCACCCTCTACATTCAGCAAGGACCAGGTATTTTTAGATGCTTGAATAATGAATTTGTGGATTAGTAAAACTCATCCACAGCTGTCTGATTATGTTGGTTTTTTTTTCTTTTATATATTTATAGATCTCCCAAATGAGCATAAATATAAAATAGTGATTCCATCAGCCAAGAGGAAAGCTGGCTGCGACATTACTCTCAGCAATATCTTTAGGCATGTTTGGTGAGTGTGTGCTCTGCCATCTTTATATCACTTTGTGGAACAATCCCTTTGATTCTATTTCATACTTTATGTAGACATAACCCAGCATCTGCAAGTGGCTGGCAGGATAACGGAACGTACCGGGGGCCTGCCATGCTCCCCACAGGCTGCTGGGGCTGCCTCGAGTCCCATCCCTGCAGCCTGTGGCTCTCCAGCACACCCCGCGAGCAGGGAAAAGGTATTTCCCACCCCGGAGGCTCCCAGGTGATGCTCCCAGCCCTTCTTAGTGTGTTTCAGTGAAGGACAGACACATGTCCCAAGAGCAAGGAGCCGCTTCCACCACTGCTGAGTGTATTCCCTAAAGCAAAACATGTTGGGAACCCCCATCTGAGGTGTTCAGGGATCCCCTGACAGCCTGTACATGGTGAGATAAAACACCGTAGAAAGGCTGGGAGGAAAGCCTCAGCCAAGCCAAGCACAACCTCCTTGTCCAAATTCTTCACAGGGGAGTGCATCAGGCTGCTCTGGGCAGCTTTCTGTCTTGAAGATGTACACCCCAGGTGCTCACAGGCCCTTCTGTAGGGTTTGTGCATACCTGCAGTGCAGCTAGACAGATCTTTTCACCCCAACAGCTATACCAATGCAGCCACACAGACACACAGGGGTACAAATTCTCTCCTCCTCTGCAGAGGCAGCTCTCCCCAGGGAAAAGGGCAGGAGCTCCCCACTGCTTCTCCACGCCCACTCCAACCTGACCCACCAGCCCGGCTGGGAGCAGTGCTCTCTCTCCATGCTGGTCCATGCTCTGGGCTGGCACAGCTGCTATGGGCACAGACTTGGATAGTTTCACCCACACCAACCAGATGAGCTTGAAATCATAGAGAAGTCTTAAACTTGGGGCCTAAAAGCCCAACACAAGGAGATGAAAGTCAAGAAATGTTTATAAAGAAAAGCAACATCCTTTCTGACAGGCCAGTGTCTCTGGAAGGTTTGTGGACTCTCCACCCACAAACCTTCTGCTCACATCTCAGAGCACAGCTGTGATCACACCACGGGGACATCACTGGGTCTAAAAGCAAGGAGCCTGACAACTAGTTAGTTGGAATGAACAGCTAGACAGTTACTAATTTCAAACAAAATAAAATTAAATAACTGCTAGAGAACTTTAATTTCCAGGCTGCATCTTTTAGAAGTGATCCTTAGCTGTTCATGCCATTCTTTACACGACAGAGATAAAGGTACCCAGCTGTTTGCTGCAGGGTGCACCTGGGGTTAATCTTTCTGTTCTCCTAAATCTGCCAAGCAAGTTAAGAATGAAAAATCTAGACTTCTAAAGCGTTCAAAATTCATCAAGATATTAGGTCATTCTGTGTGTACTGCCTCCCACTACAGCTTGTGTCATGCTCTAGTTCCAACAATCATTTCAATGCAAGTGTCATACAAATGCCTTAAAACCCCAAAGCACTGGGACCAAAGGTTTAGCTGAACAAAACTTCAGGAACTGGAGAAAAACAAATTGCTACTTCTTACATGGATTAGTTCTGAAAGGAGAGAAAGAACGAACCTGTCTCGCTTTCACACATGGTAGATTACCCAGCTTTGGATTCCTGCCACAGCTTGGCTGGCAAGCGAGCAGAAGGTAAGTCAAACCAGCTGACAGGTCCCTTACACAGCTCCAGCTCTCCACGGGCAGGCTGTGGGGTGTGCAGGTGTGTGTGCGCCGTGCAAACCCACCCTGCAGAGCGCCGCTGAGTGGGGCTGAGCACAGCGTTTACACACCCAACCCGGTCCTCCTGCGCTCCCACGAGCAAGGAAAACCCCTCCAAAATGTGCTCCTCTCCCCAAAACCAGAGGATTTTGTAACAGCATTTCTGCAGGAAAACACTCGAAAAGAAGCAGCTTCAATTACTCTTCATGGATTCATTTTTAATATTCTTCATAAGATTCCAAAACCAAACCAAGAACAACAACAAAACCAAAATGCTTTTATTCCAAGTCCTGACAAAACCAACCCTGCTCCTTTAACTTGATATTGGACAGAGAGATGTGGAATTGAAGAGATAATGGGATTACCTGCACTTCAGCTCTGTATGAGGACACTAATTCAATTTTTTCTTTCTCTGAAAACACATTTTGTTACTTGTGTATTGAGACAGGGGTTTTGCACTTCTCTGAGGATGCCTGTAGCTGCTTCAGCATACATGGACTCATACTCAGTATCTCCACTGATAGCTGCTGAAGGGTTGCCCTGGCAAAATCCTCTCTCTCAACATTAATTTTTGCTGAATGTATTCCCCATTAGAACGTTTTCCTCTTTGCTACTGAGCCTGGTACAGCTTTACACACAGAAATGAAGCTTCAACAGCTTTGCAGTCTGTTTTTAAGAGACATTAATAACCTTTTCTCTGTGATTTATCCAAATTGACTACCTCAAAACTGCAGTAGTATTTGACTCAATGTGAGTATTCAAGGTGGTCCAAAACACTGTGAGAAAGATGTAAAGAAAATAATTCTACCTATAGTCCACCTATTTCTTTTGCCAAAATGGCAGTGAAGAGTGTGGACGTACTTCAGAAAGATCATTTTTATTTTAAGCCTCAGAAACATCCTCTTATTATAGCTGTCATATATAACATTAACTGCCATATATCTTGCTCACTCTAAAACCAAGGTTGTAGCAGGTTTTTCCAGATGACTTTCAAAGTTTACAATAATACGTATGTTTGTATTGCCTCAGCTTACTTAAGGTTTTTCCTGATCATCATAAGAAAATAGACAAAACGACACAGGAACAGCATGGACTTCTCCATCTTGTTCTTCGGGGGGAAAAGCCACGGGCGAAGGCTACGAACAAAGTAGCCCAAGGAAGCCACCTTTTAACTTTTGCCTTAGGAGGAGCGGGGGCAAGCGGCACGGAGCCGGTCTCCATCCCAGCCCTTCTCCTTTTGTTCCCCTCCTCTGCTAAAGCGGCGCCGGTGGGCGAGCTGTGAGCCAACCTGCCCTACCCACGGGCCCTACCGGCGGCCCCCGGGAGGGGGGTGCAGGCGCCGGGGGCTCCTCTCCTGCTTGGACGGGTGCGGGGGTGAGGAAGTGCCGCGAGCAGCCGGCGCGGAGCGGGACGAGGGATCCTCTGACCTCATTAGGAGGTGCAGGAGCGGTGCCGGCGGGCG